ATTAAATCCTGGTCTCCGTTGGAAGCGACGCGCTGCAAATCTCGTTGTTAATAAACTTGACCGACTTCATAAGTCGCGAGGGAAGGGATTACTGTACCCTTCTCGCGATAAAAATATCTCAGGCAGGAACCGCAGGAGGGGGTCCACCCCCCCCCTCCTATGTGACCCCGGTTGGGTCGTCTAGCTGGTAGAAGTGGAGGATAGGGGCCAGATGGGCAGACGACAGAGTCCAATGATGGGAGAAAACAAAAGGTATGTACGATCGGCGCGGTCACACGGGCTTGTTTTTTGTGTTCATTTAATCGGTATGGAGGTTGCAAACCGTTACACCATCCACGCACACAACGTACAGGCCGTGACCCATCCCCACCTTAGACACGTAAATCAAATGTGCTGCTTCTTGCGTCCTGGTGTTCGTAAAGGAAGACCGAAACGAAAGCGGGAGACATCTGCGTCCATATGTTGTGTGTTGTGTTTTCGTCCTTTTTACTATGGCGACAGTCCCCCCGTTTTTCGTGGTGAGACGTGAACTACACTTTTCAGTGTATATTTTCGTACAACTACAACCATCCAGGGTCACACAGGAGGGGGTAAAAACCTGGGCTTTTTTTCTACTTTTTACTTCTGTTCATGCCCCACCTTCCTCCTGCGGTGCGTGCTGAATTTTACTTTATCGCGACAAGGTTCCAGCCGTCCCTTTCCCTCGTCAACGGTGCTAACGTCGAAGTTTGGTACTCACGAGGGCTTGTCAGATGTATTTCGCCTTCACCCGCACATTTCGTAAATCTTCACCCCATGGGGATTCGACCTCACGACCTCTGCGACTAGCGGATTACGAGGATACCACTAGACAGCGGGACGACATATACATATATGTATTGTTTTTCTCCCACTAGGTTTAGTGTATTCTGTCGTCTGCCCCTCTGGCCCCCATCCTCTACTTCTACTAGCTAGACGACCCAACCGGGGTCACATAGAAAGGGGGGGCTGGACCCCCTCCTGCGGTGCCTGCCTGAGATATTCTTATCCCGAGAAGGGCACAGCAACCCCTTCCCTCGGGACTTATGAAGTCGATCATATGTACCGGTACGACCCCAGATGGAAACCACATTGTCTGTTGTCCTTGTCACGCAATAGTCAAACTCGCATTAAAACCCATGGCCACTCGCTGCATGGGAAGCTGGTATTTACGTACCAACCAGCGTACGTGCTGGTACGGTAAGCCGCACGTCGTCTGCTTGTGAACACCATGCACTGACTGGTACCAAAACTCAAGAGGCGGAGAGACAGCGCCGGTCGGGGAGATGCCGCCGGGATGCGTGCAAGCAATACCACCGTAGCACAAGGAGGCCACTGTGTGTATTTCATTGGGCATCGCCACGGTCGGAGAGATCGCACCGGGGGTGCCTTGAAAAAGCCAGATAAGGAGATGGTTTTATAGTTTTGCATTTCCGCACCGGGGTCGGAGAGATCGCACCGAGGTGCGAAAAAAACACCAAGAAAAAACAATAAAAAAATCGATCGCACCCGGTGCTATCTCTCCGAGTCTTACGGCAAACGGCCCTTGAGAGAAGTTGGCTAAGATATATATGTTTCGTTCTTCTGTTGTAAGGTAGTACTCTTCTCTTAGAAAACGACATCAGAGGAGGCCGGATATACGAAGGCGATTCGGCTTGTCATACCCTCTCTTACATCACACCCGGCACTGGACTGGACTGACGAAGGTCTATCTTTTACCGTATTTTGACACAAGATGACACTCCCACATGAGGTATCACCCCACCCCCCATAATCACATCACACCCGGTGAAGATACTTCTTGCGGCTCAACATGAGCCCGACTGAGACACAGGCTGCCATCGCTAGAAGGAGACCATGTCCCCACTGCTGGAGGCGGGCAGTTTCGTTTCTCAATATCACAAGGAGAAAATCTTGAGAGAGAGAGAGAGAAAGTGAGAGGCAGACAGACAGACGGACACACAGACAGAGACAGATATATATGTATATATAGAGAGAGATTCACAAAACTCTTGACACTCTGGCCGAACAAGGGAGCAGGGAACAGAAGTGACTTGGATTCCGCGTTTCATTTTTCATGCAGTTGTGTCCTGACGATGACCATGGATTCCGCGTTTCATGTTTCATGCAGTTGTGTCCTGACGATGACCATGGCACAGCAGTAATATGTATGTATCGTGTATTTCTGTGTTCTTGCACCGAAACGTTTCCGCATCTATCTGTCAACCATCTGTCAACCACACAAGACGTACAAATACAAAAATAATGACAATTTACACTTTTGGATAAATCTCTTCGTCGAAGCCAACAAGGACACAGGCCCCCTCTTTAGATGGGGGCCCAGGTGAGGTAGCCGGGGGATGACAGTTTCCTCTCTTAATATTGGGCAAGGAGAAGATCTCGTGCAAGACAGCGAGACAGCACTGGCACCCAAGGGGGAGGGTAGGGCAGCCCGAAGACCTCCCACTCTCCGTTTCCGCAGGTGGCTTGAGGTGGAGTCCTGTCCATGGAAGAGTTTTCTTGCTGTTTTCAGCAAGATCCTCCGCTCCTATATTGTCTGGCCTGCTGTTGTGTATGTGGACTAATGGTTAAGCACTACCCCCCTCCACAGCAGTTGCTGTTCTTGTTGTTGCCCTCACATTAAAAACCGTTTCGATCTCTCTCTACCGTACCTTCATCTGCCCGTACTAGCCCAACACTCGACCCGGTCGATTCCCCGTCACAGGCGAACTTACCCCAAAAGAGGTTACTTCAATAAAGGATCCAAGGGTCCGCAAGTCAATAGAAATCAACGGCAGATAGCCTAGAACCCCCCGCTCGCCTCCACACGCTACGCGAGGTAAACATAGACTGAAACAGCAGAGTTGTTTTTTTCTCAGATCAAGCAACAGGTTCGCCCAAGATCCCAACCCACCGCAACAACAGACCCGGTGTAATGAATTTCAAGGTCGAAAAGTGTTATCGCCGGAGGTGTTATCTTTGAAAGGGCCGCGGAGCGGCGAAGACGCGACCGCTTCTTGCCTTCATCTCAGGAGGGAAAAACTAAGTATCGGCCTGTTCCAACGCGATGCTGGGGCCCCTCGTTTGATTTCAGCGTAATTTTCGGGGGCTTTTTCATGGCCCTCCTTTTCGACTCATTCACGACCTATATAGCACCGATTGACGATCTGTTGGCTTAGGAGGAAGAAGGAAAATTGTTATTGTTCGTCACACCCGTTTGGTGGTGCGCCGACCGAGAGATGACGCTTCACAACAGGCACTCGTTCCGGAAATTCATACCGCTCCGGCCGAAAAAGCGTGTCGTTTCGGACAAAAAGTCGGCAGAACCCCGCATAGAGAACAATATTTTTTTAACCAGTTTTTGCATCGGGTTCGTGACGTTCTCACGAGACTGGCAAAGCCGATGCTTTGTCAAATTGAATTGAAAACACATGGAAACTTCAATTAGTCTTTGAGGGTGGTGTTCTCGGCGGCCCTTAGAAATCCGGGGATGATATATCTCCGTCCCTTCGTCACCCTGGGGATGTCTTGGTCTTCCCGCCCCCTCCCCCCGAAACATATTTTCAGCACTTGCAGTCTTTGGAAGAACCATAACGCCGCCCTAAACAGCGTCCATGCTTCGCATCTAAAACGACACTCTTTTTCCGGCCGGATTGGTAAGAGATACCTCATCCTACCCTCGGGAGTTGTCGAGGTAAAGGAGGGACACACGGCGGAGATCCCACGTACGAATTGAATCCATGACGAATTTTCGTTGGTTCGCCGGGTTATCCGCGGTCGATGCAGTTGTTTTTTTTGTTCCCACGCACCAACGCGTCGCCCAACTCCTTATTAACCTCTACATTTTGGAACCACCCAAAGGTTCCCTGCGGCCCCTCCCTTACGTGCTGTCTTGGACAAGGACGGGTGTCAATAGTAGCACCAACCACTACAGCTGTAATAGGAATTGAAAAAGGAGATATGTAAACTGCTTTTGATAGATATCGCGCAAGGTGTTACGCCGCTGATGAATTATTTGTTGGGTATCAGGGACCACAGCGAAACATACACACACATTTCGGGGTTCAAGTCTGCGCGTGGGCGGGTTTTGGGAACTACTCTGTGCTTTCGGAGGGCGTGGAGTCTAGGTTGACGTTCTGTGGCGGCGATTCGTTTTGCTCCTGGAGTGGTTGTGGGGGCCAACAAGGGGGGGGTGGCAGTGGACGAACCGCCGGTGCCGTTCGTCGTGCGTTGTTGCAACCCCACCAGACGGCAGGCAGAACGAGGCGAAAACCAGCACGTGACGGGCGACAAAGAGCACCGGCATCACGCAGAATCGCCCACACGCGCGTCGTGCGAAAACAGACTCCCGCGACACGTTCTGGAACACCCAGGCAGGCACGCGTGCTTTAGTTCCCAACACCCGGAACCTCGGCATACCGTACAGCGGGTCCAGGCATGCACGACATACATCTTGAACGTCCTCCTTGCCCCCCCCCCCCCCCCCCCCCCCCCCCCCCCCCCCCCCCCCCCCCCCCCCCCCCCCCCCCCCCCCCCCCCCCCCCCCCCCCCCCCCCCCCCCCCCCCCCCCCCCCCCCCCCCCCCCCCCCCCCCCCCCCCCCCCCCCCCCCCCCCCCCCCCCCCCCCCCCCCCCCCCCCCCCCCCCCCCCCCCCCCCCCCCCCCCCCCCCCCCCCCCCCCCCCCCCCCCCCCCCCCCCCCCCCCCCCCCCCCCCCCCCCCCCCCCCCCCCCCCCCCCCCCCCCCCCCCCCCCCCCCCCCCCCCCCCCCCCCCCCCCCCCCCCCCCCCCCCCCCCCCCCCCCCCCCCCCCCCCCCCCCCCCCCCCCCCCCCCCCCCCCCCCCCCCCCCCCCCCCCCCCCCCCCCCCCCCCCCCCCCCCCCCCCCCCCCCCCCCCCCCCCCCCCCCCCCCCCCCCCCCCCCCCCCCCCCCCCCCCCCCCCCCCCCCCCCCCCCCCCCCCCCCCCCCCTCCCGATCCCGCGCTCAGAGGGCAGCCAATGCCGAGATGAACACCCAACCGATGGCCCGGAAGATGTCCAACGCGGAGCAGGAGAAGCTCTCGCTGGCGGAGCGAGCGGTGAAGGTGACCAAGAACAAGGCCTGGACGACCGCGTTGCAGTACAAGAAGTCGCGATGTGAGAGGGGGCATGTGTACCGTAGCGTTTGGAATAAAGCAACGCCGAAAATGATGCGAGAGAGAAACGCACGATTCGGTGATATCGTAAGCACCGGTGACACCGCGCCCCCGTACGAAAAATACCAGGAAATATATGGTTTATTTCGCTGATCGCACGGGGGTCGATACCGAGTGCCCCGGGTGGTTTCGGGACCGTCACTGAGCCGGAGGTACTTTGTGGTTTCATCGTGAAAGGTTTAGTACGTATTTGAAGCACTGCTGTGTGTTCTGCAGTGCGGCCGTGACATGTTGGGTATCTTACGTATCGGAGTTCCGCCAGAGGGTGTGCGTCCAAAGCATTCAGTGCTACTGCTGTAGGGCTTATTCTTTGCTCAATATCGCACGTACAGAGGCTATCGCACCCCCCGTGCAATAAACGTTCAGGGTCGAAATGATTTAAATTGATTATCGCACGGGGACTAGTGATATCGTACGTACCAGTGATATCGTACCCCCGTGCGACACAAAGTCAAGAACGACATATTTTAGACATCGACCGCACCCCCGTGTGTTCTCTCGCATCCCTACGGTAAGCGGCAAGGAATCGAGTCATCAAAGAGCGGAAGGGCTCCCCGCGGTGACCGCAGGTACTGCCTAGGCGCGCCGGCCATGGGTCGCCGAGTCGTGGTTGGGGGTTTCTTTGTTTTTTTTGTCTTGCAGAAACAAAACAACCTCTTTATACGAGAATCGCCGCCGCTCTGAGCCGTGGGGGGCACCTGTTAGCGATCGTGCGGCCGGTTCGGCGTAGGGCGTACGGTGACTAGCGACCAGTCCGTTTCGAGACAATGGTAGCCCCTCTGTTCGCGCTTATCGAAAGAGACATCTCCCCGACGTACTTTCTTTCTCGCCCCCCTTTGCTTTTCATTGGTGGCAGATGCTTGGGGAGAGAAACCTGTTGCTGATGATCGTGCCTCACCCTTCCTTTTTTGCCTTTTTGTGTTGGCCACCGTGGAGATGTCAAATCATCACGAGTTTTTTCTTGCTAATGTTGATATGGCCATATTCATGTCCATGTCATACGGAGTATGTATCAGTGATTTGTTTTGTGCTCCTCGAAGACTCCCTCGTCGTGTGGTGCAGCTCACCCCCCGCCCCCCCCTCCCGTGTAGTGGCCAAAGCCGGAAACGAGGTGCGTTTGGGCGCCCTCTTCCTCCTCCACAACTAGCGCCCATCCTCGCCCGCCTTCTTGCGACGTCCATGCCCGTCCAGTACCCGAACCCCCAAAGTTCTTGCGATCCTTCCTTCCTTAAAAGAAGATGGCCTCGGTTTTGAAATCCCTGGTACAACGGTACATGCGCTTGCTTGAAAACGCCATCCAAGCTCAAGAGCTCCCGCGTTTTTTGTCTCCAACCCCCCCCCCCCCCCCCCCCCCCCCCCCCC